TTCTATACACTGGCCCCCCCAAGGACAATCTTTAATATGTCCAAATATATAACGCTTCCCTCTATTCCAAATCTCTCATTGATTTCTCCACTGACAAAAGGAAAGGCACATCTCCCAACGATGCCTTTTGCAGGGCCCTTCATGATCTGGCCTTTCCTCCCTGTTTAGGTATTGTAGCAGTCCATAGACATACGCAATGCTTTTCCTGTGTGGCTTTGGACATGTTTTATTTCCACTAAAACTGTCCCCTTTGTCTTCGAAGAACTGTAACCCATCTTGAAAGGTTCAACAACAAGCAATCTGCTTTCGGAAACCCTTCTCAGCCCTCACATGCAAATTTAGTTATCACTTTTTTGTACCCCAAAGTGACACACATTTAATTGAACTTCAATTGAATGGGAGTGTGTTCGTTTATAAACTATAAAGTGCTCTAGGCTACCCTCTCCTTACCACGTGGACTGTGTCAGTAGCTAATACAATGCTTGTAAAACATAATTTTCTTATCTTCTTCCTACCAAACTCTCTCTGTGTTCATTTATAAGATTAGGGACCTGGGGAAAATAAATTTTCAAAATCCTTCTAGCCAAATGATCTTTAGTCAGTTAGCCCATATCTGCATTGCCTCAAGTCTTTTCTCAAATATTATTTTTCTCAATGAGATCTTCCTTGCCTACTGTATTGAAAATCCAACATTCTTTCCCATCACAGTCTTCCTTTTTTGAATCTACTGTCTTATAGCATATTCATCCTTAAACATACTCCATAATCTACTCAGACGTTTTGTTTAATGACTCTCTCCACTGTTTACAATGAAAATAGATAGTACTTAACACAAGTAGGCGTTATATAAGGCTTATCTGGAGAGAATACCATCACAGTTTCATATGAAATTAGTAATGCATGCAAATGTTTTAAAATGTGGAGTGGTCATTGAAACATAAGGACTCGAGTAATTGTATTCTCTGTATGTTTGTGAATTTTCTAACTTGCAAAAAAGTGAAGTCAGGATACTTTGTTTATATTCTTTACTGTGACATGTCTGGCACCAAAAGAGATGTCTAGCAAACAGATGGCTCTGAGATTACCTATGACTTGAAAGAACTTTCAAGTGTTAAAAGTGAATGGTTCTAGGAAATCATTTCATAAATAAGATCTTTATAACACCTGTCAATGAAAACCCAGTCAGTGGACAAATTAAGATTAGTTATCTGTGGCCACACTAAGATCAGAATGTGGCTGGGCACTCAGAGCTACTACAGGCTGATTCACAGCTATCAGGGAGAGGGAATGGAGTTGAATAAAGAATAAAGTTGCATAAATGTAAGACAGAAATCAACCATGTAGTTGATTCTGTGACAGCATGCCAGTGGACAGGGCAAAAGCACCATCCTTTACCATAGGAGTACACACTACAATAAAGGGAAGTGGTCCAGGTCATGGTGAAAAATAGAGAAATCAGTGTCCTAGTTTCTCTTCTTTTCTTCCTTGGCCATGACTCCTCTTTGGTACTTGTGACTTTCACTTCCCCTTTTTATCCCTTGAGAAGTCTGGTCTAGGTTGAAGAACCAAATACTGCCAACATATATATCTCTCTCAAGGATGCTTGACAAAGGACTGAGTGCTATTCTACTGAAATTGAGCTCATGTTTATTGCTTAAGTAATTTAATTAAAGGCTTACTTGGAAAATCATACAATGGAAGGTAGCGGAAGGTGATCAAATCTTCCTAAGTGAAAGTGGAATCATCACGTTGTGCAAATAAGGATGACAAATAAAATAAACTGAACCACTTTCTGATGCAAAGTTGTCTGCTTTCAGACTAGGTTCTCTTCCATGCCCTGTTTTCCAATTTAAGCTGTGAGTTTGAAGTACAATTTTAGGATGTATCATTTATAAAACAGAAATCCCCAAAACCTACCTGTTCCTGTCTGATCATGCCAAATGACATCCTTAAGGAACCATATAGAAAAGTCAATACTTTTCAAGCCTGGGTCATTTAGGAGATATCAGACATTGACTGGAAGAAGATGCATGACAGGGTTTTTCCCTAAATACTTTGATTCAGAAAAAAATTTTAGAACAGAGAGATATTTGGCCCAGTGATCAGCACTCTGATAGGATCAGGGAGTCGATGGTCTTTGAGGCTAGTGATCACATAAGCAATCTCCCTAGTTCTGCTAGAAGGAACTTTCTGCCCCAACAACAGGTGGAAGTGAATGGCTGTGGTGGCAATAAGCAGAAAGCTTCCTGGGACCCATTATCTGAATAGGACACACAGAGGGGCCCAGGAAGTCTCACTCACCCTCATAGGGGAGCTCCAGCTGTGATTAGGACATGGTAAAACAGCGAAGGCCTACAGTTGGAACCTGGATGGTACTGCATGTTAAATCTGTGTGAAAATACTCACAGTCCTGGGCTATGATGGTGGATACAGAAAGGACTTGAGTCCTAGTGTCACCACTTCAAGATGTAGACTAGACCCAGAAAGAATCCTCTTAATGCTGTTTAGGTCTGGACAAACTTCCCACTCTGTCTGTCACAAGATAACATAAATCACACCCAGTTACGAGCTTGGAAAGAAACATAGAAGGGAACATCTGGAGATTTTCTTGAAAGAATTACACAGTATACAAGACTTTGTGAGGAAAATGAGATTAAGCATAGAAAAATAAGGTGGATGCTCTCCTTTTGTATGTCGGCATGCTAAGGATGAACATGTCTGCCACCTCAATAAGTCTTTGAGACTTCAGTGCACTGAGGCAGGCAAAGGCTACCCTAGGATTTCAGATGTGCTGAGAAGTGATGAGAGACTTCCAGGTAAAAATTAACCCACCCAACACCAAGTCACAGACAAGGAAAACAGTCAGTTTACAGGTATATAGGGATGTCCACGGTGAGGTCAAAAAGAGGGTAAAAAATACTCATGTCTAAAGTATCTTAATCTGTAAAATTTGGGAAAATGAGCCAGGAATTTTAGAGGCAGGAACATAATATTATCTGCATCAATTCCAATCTGGGAAACATATGAAGATGGTGTATTTGGAAAAAAATTAGACTTTAGTATTCAACACAAAATAAATACATATATATACATATATATATGTATATAGCTAATGTTTCATAGATTAATCCATTGCCTGGGAAATCCAAAGAACAAGAAAATAAATCCATGCCATCCCAGTAAGAGCAAGCTACGTTAATATCCACCCTTCTATTATGCCAAATAAGTGATGTTATAATGTACACCTCCTGAGAGTGAAGATATGGTTAGAGATTAGTTCTTTTAAATCACTTATCCAAACATACTGCTGCCATCAGGTAAAGCTAGATGTTCATTTTCACTTCAGTATCCAATACCCAGTAGAAGTCCATCTCAGCTCAAGGTTAAAATTTCCTATACACAATTGCAGCTCCCAGAGGCTGGGGAGTAGGGCAGTCTGGGGTCAGTACAGAGAAGTGGGTGTACCTTATTGCAGGTCAAATAGTGACTTATGGCTAAAGCTCCAATCAGTAATTAGGTATTCTAGTCGGACTGGGAGGTTTAGAGTGGGTAGCAAAGGAGAAACAAAAACAAGAAGATCAGAACCTTAGGGGAAAGGAGAATAAGGCTTAACGATGAGCACCCTTGCTTTGCATCAATGCAGAGAATTGCCACAGGGGCAGTTTGGAGTACCTTACCAATAGGCTCACAATTACGTTTCCTATTCTTAGTTCAAGAATTAATCACAAAATTGATGTCAGAAAGGAGACAAGGTACACTGAGTAAGAGAAAAGCTCATCTCTGTGGGAAGAATCTCTGGAAGAGATTAGAGACCATGAGGAAAAATAACTGCTACTTTTAGTCTGGGGCAATTTTGAGACAAAAATAAAGTAGAAGAATAAAGTAAGGTAAGTAGCTATGAAGGTTTTTCAGTCTTCTACAATTGTTAGAAGTCAAAACGTCTGTTGGTCCTGTTTGATAAACATCTAAACAGCTTTGAGGATAAATGACAAGCCTACATATACTCAGATATTGGACTGTGTGACCTTAGAAGTGTGAGGTTATGCAACTTCAGAAGAAATATTTCTGCATGACATCTAACATGTTACAAGAACCATAGAGCCGAGATGGCAGAGGAAGAGGCTTGATTCATGATCCTGAGAACTCACGCCCTTCAATGCAAGTCCAGAATTCAGGAAAGCCAGACCTTCACGGTATCTTCAATAGGGAGGTGGTATGTGAGAGCACTGGGTAGATCTAGGAACAGTAAGGCTGGGATGAAGAGTCCTGTGATAAATTACAGATTGGAGACAAAGGTCAGGGTCTAAGAATATAACAATGCATGTCAGGAGGAAGTCAGGGTAGGACACAGTACTGTACAGTAAGAAGCAGCCCTGACAAGCTGCTTTTCAGTAGGGCTCAACTAGGTTCCTTTTGAAATTGTGTGAGCCTGGGACATTCCTCTTTAAATGGCAAAACCGGTTTTTGCATCTCTCCCTGATAGACTAGGTTATGTTTGAACAGTGAAGGGGGAAGGAGAGAGAATAGCCTCAAGGCTTCGAGCTGGTGCCTAAAAGGACCACCGAATTGTCACAGTAGACTCTGTTTACTGGATTATGACAAATACACACATGAACACAGACACATGGGCACACACACACGTGCTCACACACACTTATACACTCACTCCCACACACATGTATGCACATTCATACACTCACTATCTCACACACATGACTCACACACACACACTCACACACATGCACCACACACTCACACACATGCACACACACGCTCACACATACACAGACTGTCTGTCTGTCTGTCTGTCTCTCTTTCACACACACACACACACACACCTTTTCTGAAATGCAGATGGTTTGTGTAGAAGAGCAGATGAGTTGCAAAAACATTTTTAATTGTCTCTTTTAAAAAAACTGTATCTAAGTGTAACGGGGTGAGAAACTTTCTAACCCTGGCATGTTATACACTAAATAAGGAAATAGTGTCCAAAAAGCCAATTAACAAGAAAACTCTTTTATTGATATAAAAGCAAAACAAGTTTTTTATGAATTCTAGTACCTGTTTTTATTCTATTAGATATACTCAAGTTCAAAAATCATTTTTTTTCTGTGGGTGCTGTCACTGTTGTTAACCTCTCTGTAGCAGCAATCCTGTGAGATCACGAGTCTCTGTGAAAAATACTGCCTCAAATAGGTAAAATAACTTGAATAATTCATTGTCCCCCAATTAAAGCTAAGTCAGTTCTTATTCTCCACTAAACATTCCTACATGGCACCAGTGGTACCATCAGGTTGGTGGCATTGATAAACACTGATGCCAAGCCATATCTGCTTCTCAAATGTTACCAAATAAGGGAAAGAAAAACAAGCCAGAATAAGATTTATACTCATCCCAGTGATAAAATACTTCTTGCGTAGATGCGGCGATTCATTCTTACATGAACTGTAACAGTTGTGAGCCATAATCACTGCTTTAAACAGGAACAAGTGGCTTTTCAGATTCTAAGCCTAGATTCACCTGAGAGTGGGCCTTAGAAGCCAAATTAAAGTTTCTGGTTCTAATTTAGCCCATAGCTCTCCGATAATATCATTAGTAATTTCTCAGCCACTACCCACAGAAAAGCACTCAAAGCCTATGCCTATGCAGTGAAAAAAAAAGAAGTTTTAGTCATTATCTAATCAATTCAATGGATACAGATAGGAAGGGAGATAAAGTCAAAAGCCAAAGTAATGTTTAAAGCTAAATTGTCCACATTTTCCAAAAAGCTGCTTGTCAAACTAAACAAATAATATATTTTCATTTTGTTTTTAAATACGCATATATATGTTGTATTTTATACAACATATAAATTGAAAAAGAAAATTCAAATGGCAATCCATGATTGTGGTCTAGATGGCTCCAGAGCTCTTTCAGATGGATTTTTTTATTCCACCTAGATAGCTGGACCACATTGATATGGTCATAACTTCATTACCATTGCTACATTTGAGTCACTAATATAGGAAAGGAAGCTTATCTAATTACCAATTTCTCAAGCTGAGGAAGACTCTCCCCTTCCATTAAATAAAGAGAAAGTCATTCCAATTTGACCCCCAAAGAAACAAGTACATGCATTTACCTGACTTCTCAGACCCTCTCCGGATCAGAGGATGGAACAACTATTTGGTTTCAGTCTCATACTCATAATGACAGAAAAGAGAATACAAAAATTTCATTGTAAATTTGTACAAAATGTATGCATATATAAATACATATCTATGGGTGTATATAAATTCTAAAGATTATATCCATCTACATCTTCAAGAGTCAGAGTCCCATACAGTTGGCATATTGGCATTCTCTTTCTTATTTTCTCATTTTTTAAAACAGTAAGAATCAAGCATGCTACTTTATTAATACTGAATAGCAAGTGCAGGAGTTGAGCTGTATCTATAGAGGGTTGAAGCAATTAGTTTGACTGGACATCAATAAATAAAATCCTTAGAGTAAATTTAGATATTTCCATATTGTGTTTTATTTCATAAAAATGAAATCTTGAATGTCATATGGGTCAGCTGAGCTCACTAAGTAGCGATCTAAACAGAGTCTATAGAAATTTGCATTGTCATATGCTTATTGCAATAATTTGGTGTGGGGTCTGATCTACTAGAATTTCATGTAATTCTCATTCTAGCTCACAGAAATCTTGTGCAACACCACCAGGTTCACAGCATATTAAACTCAGTATGAAACGTGATTAACAAGCTGCATCATCTTTACACAGGACACTATTAAAATATTAAACCCTAGTCAATTGATGGGGAAAGGCATAAACAGTTAAAGGTGCACAATAATAGCACATTACAGATGTGTGCTTATGGTTAGAGGTATCGAGACTTTTTTAAAAAAATACACATAATTCGCTCATTTCTTGTTCTATCTCTTTTGGAAAAGGATGTAGGACATTGCCCCCTAGGGTGTACAGGCTGCTTCTTGGAAGGGGATTATTATTGCATGCCTTGAATGCACTGTGATTCATAAGGCAGGAACACATGAGTTGCTTCAGCACCAAGGAAGTGGAATCAGCATCTAGCACTACTCAAAAAAGAATATCTTATTGCTTTAATAAAATGGGAAAATATTTACTGTAAAGAAAAAAAGTGCACCGAATAATGGGAAGAAAGTAATATCTACACACTTAAGTAGAGCTCATTGAAATGATGAAGCTTTCCTTCTTTCTGGGTCCCTGGTTCTATTCAGATTTCACATTCAAAAGCCATTCTGTAAGAAGGTGTTAAGAGATACAGTTGGATGAGGGTAAGTTAAAGAGATTAATGGACATTCTTCTCCACAGTGCCTTAGTCATTCTGTTGTACAGGGTAGAGCTCAGATACACTGTCCCGTTCCTTGGTAGCCTGAAGGAGTGAATGCGCTCTGACCTGTTACTAGGAAATGACTAAGGCACTGGAGAGAATCTGGTTCATTATTTAACATATTATATCCAGGTATTATATCCGGTCTTCCTAATGACACAACATGGCATGCTTACATGATGTCCTGTGCTTCAGAAAAGGACTCAGGTGACTGAAACCAACCTTATTAACTTATTTCATAAAGATACAGACTGAGCTTGGGGAACTTTATAATATCCAAAAACATTAGAGGCAATAGTTTCTCTGTATAATAAGCATATACAACCTGAAACAGGACAGTGAATTGAGGGCAACTAGTGACTCGGGAGAGGGATAAGTGTGTGGGTCCCACTGCTTTACACCCAGCATCAGAGTCTAACATAAATGCATTTATCTGACATTTGAAGAGAGGACAAAAGATTTACCTTCTCTCCCACTTTCTTTTTTCCTCAGTATTTTCTATGTGTTCATGGAGGTCAATTAGGTCAGACTTAGAAAGAAGAAAGATCCTCCATTGCTGTATATCAGATGCAGGCACAGAGTTGTAACTAAACAAGCTGTAAACATTTTTATACTGTAAGCATTTACTGATTTAACTTGGAAATTTGCATGTCCTGTCATCCAAATTGCCCAACATCTCCACCAGTCTTTCCCCCAACACATACAGTACAAGCAAGCACACACACCACTGCCTCCAGGTGGTAACTGCATGCAGAAAACTACAGGCACTGCTGAAATATTAGCCATGATTTTAATAGATGGCATTCTTGCACATCCATTAGCTGTTTTCTGTTGTGGCCATTTCTGTTATTCACAAAAGAAAAAGGGAAACGTGGGTGTCATCTCTTTATAATAGTCTACTACAGAGTAAAATACAAAAGAACACTTCCAGAAACAGAAGCCAGGCCTGCACCACTGACTTCCTCAGCCAGTGGCAACCATTATATCAACAGCTGGAAAGTCAGAACAAGAATATACAGTTTGGAGGACATGTCACAGAACTATAGTTTTCTTTTGTATTTGGTACCAATATAATAAGTATATAACAAAGGTGCACTTGTTCTAAAAATAAAACAGAAACATACTGGTTGGTTAGATACTGCATTTTCAGAACTGCACATTACCTAATACTTTTTTTTAGATAAAGGTAACTTACTAAATGTTTAATAATAAGCAAAACAATAGAACACGCTAATCCAATTGTAGAAAAAGAAGAAAGAAACCAATCAAAACCAAGACAATCACTTTTCAAAACAGCTCCTTCTTTGGCCTGCACAACCAGAGGAGGAAACCATAAGGGCGAGACATTTTCAGCACCAGACATGGCTGGACAGCTCCTGACCTCTCTGAGGCTCAAGAAAAACCAAAAAAGGCCAGGCCACCAATCAAGTGTGCAAGGGGGGACCCTACGGATGGCGTGGGGGGCAAAAGCAGATAGTATGAATTTTGTTTTGTTTTGCGCTCGGCCAGCGAGAGATATTTCTAAAAGTAAACTGGAAAACTCTGCCCAGGGGAACCAAAAAGTGAAGACATGACTGACTAGAGAGGGATTACCTGTCCTAAACGTTTTTCTGGGACATTCTCTGTGGTCTCTGGTGCTTAGTGATTCCTTTATAATATACTAATGCCTGAGCCCGGCTGAAGGGGAGGAAATGGGAGGAGAGAGAAGCTAAAGGAAAAGTGAAAGCCCATGGGGGAGGGGCAGAAAGGCTACTAAACCTTCACTTGACAGCTATATACAACACCACCGGCCCCCTCCCCTCCCTTTGCTCCTGTGTCATTGTCTTTTATATATTTGGTGGCTTTTGTGCGGTTTCTCCTCCTTACTGAGAGGGGGACACGGAGTGGAGAGGGAAGATGCAGCCATCATTGACAATGAGAAATTATGTGATTTGTCATGCGCTTGGACTGTGTTATTAATAGTATAGTAATTACTATAAATATCAATAAAGTATTATCAGCGTTATTTCTTCCTCTGAGACTTTCCTTGCCCAATATTTACAAATACCGCACAGTGCCTCGGCGGAGGAGAAACAGTAAAAGGGTGGGCAGGTAAGGAAAGAGGGCAGAGGAAAGAGGGGCCACAGGAGAACGGAAAAGAAAGAAAGGAGGAACAAAAGCGAGGATGGCAAAGATGCTGAAAATGAGGAAGGGGTGAGGAAAAGGCTACACAATCAGGACAGTACCACTGTTTGCAAAAGGCCCTCGCCAGCTGTGTCCAAACAGGAGGAAGCTGCATGTGCTCCGGGTGGACTGGGGGCTGGCGGTGGAGGCGGAGGTGCACAGGGACCCTGGCACAGGAGACCAGGGGATGAAGAGGAGGAAGAGGTGGCATTGGAGGGGGTGCTGAAGGCGGAGTCCCGGGGCTGTCTCTCCAGTCGAGTTTCTTTTCCCTGGGTTGGGGCTTGAACACCTGCCCGGGGCAGCCCACCACCACCGTGGCTGCCGCTGCAGTGATCTCTCTCGTACTCCTCCTGAGCCCTCTGCATCTTCCGCTTCTTCATCCTACGCTTATGGATGTGGAAAGTGGAGAGGGACAGCACGATGAGGCAGAAGATGAGAGTGACCAGGACAATCAGCACCAGCGTGGACGAAAAAGACTGGAAGAGCTGCTGTCCCACCTGCGTGATGCAGGTGCCGCCACCTGCGCCCGAGCTGCGGACACCTGCGTTGCTGCCTCCACTGGCATTGTGGGAAGCAAAGGTCCGGTTGAGGAGACAAGGTGGCAGCGCCAGCCTCAGCTCTTTAGGCGCCCTGGCACTCATCGGCGCTGGGCTGAGAGGGGCCAGGCCCACCGGGCTTCCTCTTGGACACACAGTTCCCACCGGTCAAGATGAGGACAAGAACCCACACCACGCCACCCCAACAGCTTGCTCCCTGGCGCTGGAGGGAGTGAGTGCTCCAGCCAAAAAACTGAGGGAGCAAATCCCTGCAAGTAAGCTGACCAGAGCTAGTGGCCCCAGAGAGACTGTCTCCGTTCCTCGTTGATCTTGTCTCCAAGCGCCCAGTTTCCTTTCCCGGGGCACAGTGCTGCAAAGAGAACAGGATTAGTTAGGGTCCCGGCCACTGCCAAAGCAAGTGCGGGGAACGAGAGGGATCTGCCACCACTGCCAAGCGGCCCTCAAAGGGGCGCTGTCATCTCCAAAACCCACCGGCCGACCCAATCCTACCGCTCCTGGCAGCACAGGAGAGCAGCTGCCAACTGCTCCGCTGGCTCGGATGGGGTCTGGCGTCCACACCGCACCGCACCGTGGAGACACTGGTTACTCAGCAGAGAAGGCAGCTGCCCTGCCCCCTGCACAACTTTCTAATTGTTACTAACAGCGGCCGCCAAGGCTGGTTTTCTCTATCTACTTCCCAGAAAGCCAACTGCCCTCCTCGCTGAGCTCGGTGGACCTCTACTCAGGATCCACTCTCGACAGCATTCGCTCCAAGCAGGCTCCCTATATGCAGCCTTCTTTCCGCATCCTTCCCTCTCCAGACACTTCCAGCCTGGACCTTCAGATCCCCCAAGGTCCCAGTCCCAGGGGATATGTCCCACTGCCTCTGTCCCTAGCCACAGCTGTCACGCTGGATCTGGCACACGGGATCATGCTCGACCTTTCTCCAGCCTTCTTCCCGGCTACCTTCCTCCCCCTTCCTACCCATCAAAAACAGCTGAAGCAACCTGATCAGCTGAGGCACATCCTCGCAAACGCCCCCCTCCTCCCGATCTCCCTGAGCCTCCCATTTGACAGCAGCCTGTATCCTTTTTATTTCTCCCAGAGAAGGGACTGGAAGGGCAAGGGTTACTGCCTGCAAAGTTTGGGGAACCGACCTTGTCTCCAGCCTTCCCAGGGCTCGGACCCCAGGGCCCAGAGGCTGTGGTAGAGGACCAAGTCAGGAGGACCCCCAGCAGGCAGCACAGATTCCTTGCCTCTCCCAAAAGGCAGGTGCAAACTGTTGCACTGCGGAGCAGCAAGGCAAAGCGCTAGCCTCTGCCGGGGCAGGGGCGGGGGCCAAAGCTCTGACCAGAGGTGCCTGCGCAGGCCGCAGGAGTGGTCCTACCCGCCCACTTCCTGCCGCTGGGCCCCCTGGCCATGAAAGCCTTCGGCCGGACCATTGTCTCTTACCTGGAAAGGCCAGCCGGCTGCAGAGAAGGAGCCCCCGCCTTGGCTGCAGTGACAGCTGCAGAAGGCGCAGGAGCGCAGGGACCAGAGACAGAGTCGCGCTGCTGCTGCTGCTGCTGCCGTCGCCGCCGCCGCCGCTGCCTTTGCTGCTGCTACAAGAAGCTCAGCTCTTAGCCTATTGCCAGAGAGGCCGGTGACGTCAGGCAGCCACCGCCAGGGCTCCAAGCCACCCCTCAGGCCCCCACCCACCCTCATACCCAACACCTTGTCCTGGCATGACAGCCTCGCCAACACCATTCCCAGTTCCCTGCTGTTCCCCAGCTTCGGGGCTGGGAGGAGCAAACCCACCCCCACCCCACCCCCACCTCCACTCAAGCAGCACCCACCTTCAGCACTGGCACTCCTTTGCCTAGGAAGAGGCTGGCTTTAGTTCCCCCATTGCTCTGTACTTCATCCTTCACCAGGTACACAGTTTGCTCCAGGAGAACCTTCTTCCCTTGGGCACACACTTTCTTCCTGTTGACTGATCAGAATCCTTGCTACCCCCAAATCCTAGTTTTGCTGCCTCTGGTTCTAAGCATAAACTGCTTGTACCAGGGAAATGGCAAGGACATTTGTCAACAAAAGTGTGTTGTGGCAGAATCAGAAACAGGAACCTAAATATGCATCAAAGACTCCATTGTCTCCACCAGTCACCAAAGTGTGTCACTCCATCCATCTGCTTTTTGATGTCTTCCCTCACAACTTCGTCTCCAGGCCCAGGCCGCATCCACTGTATCAAGCACTGCTTCTCTTTTGAGGACATCGTCTTGTGAACACACAAAGCATACACGGGCTTACAATGCAGGAAGGGGAAATTATAAAGAGGAGTGTAGAAAACCAGTGACCTGTAAAAATTCTCAACGTTGTGTGTGGTGCCTGAAAAGTGTTCCTTCATTGACTCTAATTTTTGTCAAAGTGCTTGATGCTTTAGTTTTTTAAGTTAAATGCTTATATCTACTGGAAAGGCTCTCAGCAGCCTGCAAAAATCTTGTTAGAGATCAGAGAATGAGTAGCTTTTAGAAACAGGACTACTGTATTATATCACAGGAGCCATCTTCAAAATATCTGCTTATTTTTTTACCCATGTAATTGGAAAAGCTGTCTTGAAACACTGACTAAAGACTATATGGTCTTTAAGGGCAGTCAAATAACTTATTAAAAGTGTTTCATTTCTTTTATCTTGTTTACCTCCTGTCTTTGAGTCTAGCGAAGTGCAATATTTATTCTCTCAGTTAGACAGTAAAGTGTGTTCCTACCTCTCCCTGCTATGCAACCAGAGGGGAGGCTAATGGCAATACTAGATGCCACTTACCCATTAGTATCAGCTAGAGTTGTGAAGTGGAATCTGATACAAAAAGAAAAACAAAAGCTTTCTTCTTCGGACCTTATGTTCTCATCTAACCCTACTCCAAATTTTCATTTTCCTCTTCCTGTTCATGCCATGAATGAATGATACATCATATCTCCCCTCCACCCCACATCTATTTTCATATATTGAGGACAGATCATCTGGGGCTGGGGAGCAGCTGTGTTAAAACACTTGTGTAACATGTAGAAGGCCCTGGGTTCTATCCACAGCACTACAGAGAGAGGGGAAGCATCAGCTTTATCCTCATAACTGTCTCAATAAGAAAGAGTATTTGAAACTTTTTAAGCTAATTGTTCAGTACATGTTAAATAATGCACAGTTGCTTCAAATCACAGATTGATGCCCTTTGACTGCCAAGGTCACACAGTCAATGATGGCCAATGACCTGGATGCTTGCATAAGTCTTCCTTCTCCAAAGGAGGAGACCTGGTGCCTGTTAAAGACACCTTCCACATTTGGTGATTCTGACTGCGGTGGATTTGGAGAGTGGTATGCCTTTGCTTGCTTCACTGTGACAGCTAAGATTTCACTATGGATACCTGACAGGCAGTGACCCATTTGTGTACTGTCTTTATTCTTGAAAAGTTGAGTCTCTTCAGCATGTTGTAAAGCAAACCCATTTTTGAATACTCCAAAAAGAGATCTGGCTATTTAAGGAGAGTCTTAAGCAGAGAAAGAAAGAAAGAAAGAAAGAAAGAGAGAGAGAGAGAAAGAAAGAAAAAGTTATCTTGTCCAAAAACAAATCTTTACACAGAATTAACCCTTTGTGCTCTGTTTTCTAGATTTGGGGAAGTTATTGGGTTTTTTCCTAGAGGGAGACGTATCCCTACAATATCTCATAATAGGAATGTAATGTGCCAGTAATGGGACTCCACTGTTCTTACTTTTTTTATTACAAATGAAGATTCTTCATTATATTAGGGGTACTTAAGGTGTCTGAATCATTTCCCACAACCAGTGGAAAGACAAGGTCTTACCCTAGATAACCTACATTATGCCACAGTTCAGTGTGATTTGGAAGACAATGGTATTTAATTACAAATGATTTAGGCAGACTAAAGACATACATTTCAGGTCAAAAGCCTGGTACACTTTTCCCCCTTTTTACTTTTATTCAGCAAAAATGTCTGAGGTGTTAGGGATATAAGTAATTGGCTTGCTTAGAATGCTCAAGTTTTGGATTTGATCCCCAAGACTGTTTAAAAATGGGTGTGCTAGTGCATGCCTATAAACCTGGTATTCAGGTGGTAAAAGCAGGAGGATTAGAAGTTCAAGGTCACCCCCAGCCACATACAGAGTATGAGACCAGTTACAGAAGACCCTGTCTCAAGAATAAATAAAATATTTGAATATATATGATATACAAGTACACTTAAGTTCAGATTTTAACTATTTATTTTTATTTTATGTGTATGGGTTTTTTTCTGCATGTATATCTGTGCACCACCTGAGTTCCTGGTGCCTGTGAACGTCAGAAGAGAGGACACTGGATCCCCTGGAACTGAAGTTATACAGATGGTTTGACTGCCATGTTGGTGCTGTAAATTGAACCCAGGTTCTCTGGAAGAGCAGTCAGTGCTCCTAACCACTGAGCCATCTTTCCAGTCTCCTCAGAATGGATTTTTTAACATCCCTCCTCCTTCTGTGTGAGTCTTCTTCACTCTCCCTTTCTCCTGTGCCTCTCTGCACATATGATTCTACTTTTATATTGCCAATGTCTAACTAGTCCTCATTGGACTAAATAAAAAACACTCACTAGAGAAGATAGAAGATATGTTTGAGATAGAGAAGGGGACATGGGAGGTCCTAATTGTTTGGGTCCTCACCTTTATTCAGCAGTCCATAGACCTCCACAGACTCCTTTGGACTAGACACTGCACTAGGTCATTTAGGTGGGTTGCTATGGATCATCACTCTATATGTGTAGTGAGAGCCTTCTAGCTGCTAGGTGAAGTTACCAGAGAATGTACACATAATTCTGACATTATGTCTATTCTTATCTCTTCTACTCCTCCCTCTGAACACCTACAGAGATATGTCTACATGGCATCATGTTACTGTCAAATCAACTACTCATCCAGCCAGTAATAAATTAACGAGTTTCTAACATAGGGCACAGAGTAAAATTCTTGACTTTGTCTAGTCATTTGGGTCTTTCCCAATACAATCTTCCTATCTGTGAGCAGAGAATAGGAATGATGTCAGTATCTTCTTTGTAGGTCTATTTTAAGTACCAAACACACAGCAAACATTTTTAAAACAATAGCTTTTTACATTATAAAGAAAATCACAAACATTGACAGTTTTTCTTGGGCAATAGAAATGGCATGTTGTTTTACACAACAAACTTTAGAAAATGTTCTTTTTGAGTGTTAGTATCCTTGTGTAAAGATGACTAGAATGCTGAGGGGATTGAAAATAATGACAGAAGATGCACACGTAGACCTGGGATGCACCACAGTGCTTTCCAATGCCAGTCATCAACAGGGATCAGGTACTGAATCATAGTGGAATGGAACTAGGGTAGGAAGGATGCTTCAGTTTCATTCTGTGAACACTTCTCTGCATACAAAGCAGGTTGTCACCAAGTCCTCTACCTCTGTGTGAACTTCTCTCCCCAAATATATATATTTGGGTTTAAACCTTATCTTTGGTGCCCTCTCTCACTTTTCCCATCTCATAAAAGATGAATATGTCTTATCAAGCATCCATCCTACTCTTATTCAATATTCGTAGTAGAAAATTCTTTGAAGGAACTAAACAGAGAAACCTGGAGGAGATACAGCTCCTAAAGGAATGACCAAGGGCACAGAAACAGGAAGAAAAGAAAAAAAATCCAACAACAACAACAAAAATCTGTAACAAGTATTGATGGAATTGTACTTTATATCGTGTAGGAGACAAATTCATCTTAAGGCTCTATGTCTTATCTGTCTATATATTGATTTATTTTGAAATTTAAAGGTGATATGTTAGTCAGAGAGATAAAGGTATTATGGTTCATTTAAATTGAAAAACAAAACCATTTTTTCTTGGAAAAAGCAGCCCTGACTGGACTATTTCTATTGATAATTTGAAACAGATTTTCTTGGCAGGTAATATAGAAGACAGAGTCTGCAAAGTGAATGGGTTTCACCTATTGCTCCATGGTTTGGTAAAACAGGTACCATATAGGATATAGAATGTGTTAGA